AGGAAATTGTTTGTTCTGTTGTGTGTCTGTGTTCATGTGTGTGTGTGTGTGTGTGTGTGTGTGAGAGAGAAAGAGAGAGAGTGTGTGGGCGTGTGTGTGAGCATGGCAGGATGAGCATGAATTTGTGCCAGTCTGTGTGTACGTGTGTGTTTGTGAGTGTTTGTTTGTGTGTGCGCGTGTGAGCATTTAGGAGCAGCATTTGATTTCAGCAGACCTGCCTCCCAACAAGCCTTCCTATCTCTGCGGACAAGCCATCTGTTTGCCCAGTGCATGGTGTTCTGTTCTTAGAGAGGAGGTGGAGGAGGAGGAGGAGGAGGAGGAGGAGGAGGTGGTGGTGGTGGTGGAGTGTAGGGACGGAAGGATATGGGTGAGGGTGAAGGAATGGCAGGGACATGGAGTAGATGGGATGTAGGTGCGAGAAACGGGAGGGGACAGGTGTTTGGTGCACCTTTCTGATGGAGTCTATGGTTTTCATTCAATCGTTTCTTTGTTTCTTAATCATTAAAAAAAATGTCTGTGTCTATAAATCATTCTGATCTGTGCTTTTTCTGTTTTTCTCCTTCTTTTTTTTTCATGATTCCATGTGTTTTTTTTTTTTTCTGTTTTCCCCACACGTGTTAATAAAGGTTGTCTTTATAGCTTGTGTCACCTGCCTGCCACCTGCATGCCCAGACAATTTCATACAGTTTGTGTAAATGTGCGCGTGTGTGACATAATGTTTTGTTGCTTACAGGAAGGTGTGAAAGACAAGGAAAACATGAAAGAAAACAGCACAGGTATGGCTTAAACGGTTTGGATTTATGAGTATGTCATGTCTATATAAGTTAAGAGATTTTTTTTTTATGCACTTGTTGAGTCTTCATTTCTTTCCTTTTCGCTCTCTCAGCCTCGGAGGGTGACCAGTATCCTATCGAGAATGGTCAGATGGGCGAGGAGAGCTGCACTGGGGGCTCCACAGTTCCTGAGTCAGTGTTGATGGCTGGCAGAAGGTCTAAAGGGCTGATGGTGCTGGGCGAAGAGAAAAGAATCCTGCCAGAGTCCAGTGCCTGGCCCTCTCAGGGGTTCCCTTGCTCCCTGTGCAAACGGCTGTTCAGCAGCCTGCAGCATCTCAGGGAACATGAGTATCGCCACACCATGTCCCTCATGGCCTTGTCTCTAGACTGGCAGAGCATGCAGGGTCCGCACCACCAACCCACCCAGTCCCTCCACCAGCCACAATCCCAGCCCCTTCACCTGCACCAGTCTCTCTACCGCCCATCAGCTACCGAGCCCGCGCCCGCCCGCTACCTCTGCTCACAGTGTCCGGCCAGCTTCACACTCAAATCCAACGCGGACCGGCATGAGAAGACGATCCACTTCAAGAAGAAACTGATGCAGTGTGTGTACTGTATGAAGCACTTCAGAGACCGCACAGACCTGCACAGGCACCTGTCCTCTGTGCACTCCAAAGAGAGAGGACACACCTGCCCGGCATGTGCCAAGGCTTTTAGCACCCAGAAGAACCTGGCCACACATGTTAAAGTGTGCTGCCAGATGGGGTCAGGGTCAGGAGGCATGCTGGGAGGGAGCGGCGGGATGGAAATGTATCAGGGTGGGGGGGTTATTGATTCACTGTGGAGGCTTTCTCAAGAGATGAAAGTTGATAATCTCAGTATTAATGTGGAAAATTGAGACTTGATTCAGAGTCTGCAGGCTTGTGTGCACACTTGAAAACCAAGTGGCAACCTCCAGTATTGAAAAAAGAAGCCGATGCGGAAGCGCAAATTCCCGCTGTTCATCAAGTGTCCGCCTAGGCTGAGGTCACATACATACCCATTAAAAAAAAAAGCCCATTTTTACAGCAGTAATTAACATGTTTACAGCCTGTTTCCTAATACGAAACAGGTCTGATTAACTCATGTCTTGTTCGGCACACATTGTACGAAGGGTGAATTTTTTGATAACTCATCCGTTTTGATTTTATGACGGATAAGCTGATCGCTGACCTGATTGACAGGTGGGCGCCATATAACGGTTTGTCAAGAGGCTTAAACTGTCCTCAGCTCCGTGTCTTAGTTAGCTCGAGACAGTATTTTCAGCATGGCGACCGCCATCGATGAGCTTCCAAAGCCCCCTGAAGTAACAAATGACTGACGTCACTCAGGCAACACCCATTAATATTCACAGTCTATGATTAAAACCCATCCACTAGCAGCGTATCCTCATGTGTTATACGCTTGCTCATGCCAAAAAAATGCGCTGTGGTGTTATTGCACTGAAAAAGAAAGAAATGCTCTTAAAATTAAGTGACTCTTGGCATAATTATAAATATTTATAGAGTCTTTTTGTCAAACCCGTTGTCAAATTTGACTTCATATTATTTTCTAACAGGTGATTTAACACCGATTGACAGCTAAATGTCAACAATGCACAACTGCTATGCAAAGCTGCTCTTTTTGAAGAACTTGAATTGTATGTAGGTCTGTTTTTAAGATAATCTGTAATCGTGTGTATAGTTTGAGTGTGCACTGTTTTACCACTAACAGGTGAAATGACTTAATGTTTCGGTGCTGGCTGAGTGGTGAGACAAAGAGGACATCTTTCTGCCTCCCAGACCTAAACCACTCATCATGTTCTCTGTCGCCACTCACCAGCCTGACTAAACTCTCCTCTCCTTTTTTAGGCAGAGAGATCTTTATCTTTGTGTGCAGCCCTGTATTACCACATGCACAAAGACTCTTAGAAACAATTCCTATCTGCCAGGCTTTACACACACACAACCACACCCCCTGCAGGATGTCGGTAGAACTGCAGGATGAGAGGAGAGTAAAGACCAAAATCTGAATATTTCTACTGCAAGTTTTAGTGCAAAAAAAAGAGAAGAAAAATATTACTGACTTTTCTTTAAATTGTTCCTCAAATGAAATAAAAGGGCAGTTCTTTGACCTTCACTCAAGCATAGAAAGCGTGTCCTCAGTATTTTTTTTTACCTTTGGTCAGTTCTGTCAGATCAGTGCAGATGGAGGGGATGCACCGAACAAAACAAAGCCTGCAAAAACAATACAGCAGTAGCAGCTCAGATGGGGGTTGGGTGGTGTCATTTTCTCTCTCCCTCTTTCTGTGACCATCTCCTCCGTCCCAGATATGTAAGTCTTGGAGTGGCTGGAGCTGGACAGTAATTGGTCCTTCATGGCTCCTGCCCTTCTTAACCCCTGACCTTTCCTCAGTCTGGGCTGGGGGGGGGTGTTTTAAACTAGACGAGCTTAGTGATGTCACTGCTGCAAGCAGATAATAATATGGATGTAAACGGGGGATCAAGTGGGAGAATGCAGGAGAGGAATAAGGGTAATGGTGGAGACAGAATTACATGGAGGGTGTGTTAGAGCTGGAATTTTATTGAATCAGAGTAACACTGGCCTCAAAATCATAACTAACGTAAATTCACACCAATTTCTGCCTAAAGAATTACCTTTTGAGTTTACAGCAGGTCTTTACCCTGCAGCTATAAAACCCAAGATATGTGCTTGATAAAGCTCAGCTATTAATGTTTATCGTGTATACCCATACTGTGAAACATCCACATGTGTTTCTCTCTATTATGCCACACTTAATCTAATATATGGAACTCAAATTTCTAGGTGCTCCTTAAAAGCAGAACTGGTGTCTTTTGGGAACATTTCCCCTCGCTGTCGTGTAAATACCCAGGGAATCCCAAATGCCAAATCCTTTTCTGATATAGATTCCCATGTCTCAGGTAGCAGTCTGAGTCCTGCCCAGCAGCTGAAAACAGAGACTGGCAGGCTCAGAGAAGTCAGGAACTCATACGTAAGGAACTCTGCAGCGTCAACCATGGAGAGGGGTTGAACGTACCCCTCTGTGTGGCTTTTTGAGGGTATTTTTGAGTTTTAATACGTGTTGTTATAAATACTAAACAATGTGTCAGCCTAGATTATACTTTTTCTCATTGAAAAAAGCATGTACTTTACACAGATACGTATGCGCTTTTACTCAACAGAATGATATTCTGCTTGTAGTTTTTATGCTGGAATTAAAATGTGATTGACATTACGAACATTTCTCTGTCGTGTCTGTGGTTATTTATAGACACCCATCTTCACCAAATCACATGTTTGTTTGTTTTTTGCACATGACAGATATGAATAAGATGTTAAAGTCTGTTTTGCATTATACACGTACTTGCATGTTTTTGTGAGTGTGTATTCAGATCAAAAGCCGATGTGCAGATTGAGGTAATTATCTCGTATCACTTTCAGATTTGAACCCTTAAATGTGTTTTGGACCCTTTTCTCCATGAACACTAGATGTGTGTTTGTACCGTAGTGTGTGCTGTTTTTGTGTCCTTACAAATCCATCCCTGATCTCTCATGGTCTTATACTGTATGCCCTTACTGTTTAGATTCACACACACACACACACACACACACACACACACAGACACAAACATCACGCAAACACACAATCTGTTTACTTGGATGCCCTTCACCTGGCTTAACGACCATTTAAGTCCAGACCTTGAGATAATTGGCTTAAGGGACCTCTACACAAGATTGGGACATGGTATTTAAATTATTTGTTTATGGGGTTTTTTTTTTTTGTTGTACTGAAGCCTACCTTTGTGTGTGTGATTTTATTTCCCGGCCCTCAGTCTCCTTGTTGTCTGTGTTTGTCTCTCTGTCTGTGTTTTTGCGGTTCATAGCAGAGACCTTCAAGAGTAAACCGAGGCAGACTGACTGTTGTGTTGTGTTTATAGTATCTCTTTGCCTTTATTGCTTTAGTATGTAGGAAGAGCTGTTGCCAGGGCAACTGGCGCTTTGACTGGGATTGGGGTGGCCATGGGAATTGATGGTACATTTCTAGACCATGCTGCTAATTAAATGTAATAACTGAAAAGGTTTACTTAAACAAGACTCATTCAACACTCTTCTTTTTTCCCTTCCCTCTCTCTCTTTCTTATTTTTTCTCTCTCTCTCTCTCTCTCGCTCTCCTTTCTGTCTCTACAGTGAATGACTTCACGGTGATCCGGAAAAAGTTCAAGTGCCCCTACTGCAGTTTCTCTGCTATGCACCAGTGCATCCTAAAGAGGCACATGCGCTCCCACACTGGTGAGAGGCCCTACCCCTGTGAAATCTGCGGCAAGAAGTTCACCAGGAGGGAGCACATGAAGAGGCACACACTGGTAAGTGCAGCTCTTTCACCAATAGAGGGCAGTAAGTGGCTCTGTGAATCACTGAGCGTTTTAACAAGAGGACGTAGACACCACCACCACCACCACCCATTGCTTTGTCAAGCTTCTTTTATTAAAGCCTTGTAATTCTGCATTTGGCCAACCATGCTAAAAAATCTCAAAAAACACAAACATGTCACAGGATCAGTAACCAATCAGCTGAGGTGACAGCAGCACTTGACTGATCTTTCTCAGCTTTAAAGATTGATATGGAGTTGGAGTTTTATTAAAAATTCTACTTTGTACAGTTCACATTCATAGAAAAGTTATCCTCAAAGAACTAAACTGTTTTTTGAACCAGGAAGTAAACAAGTGGAGCTTTTAAATAAGGGCTTAATGAGGAATGGCTCACTCTAGAAGCCAGCCTCAAGTGGCCACTTAAGGAACTGCAGTTTTGGCACTTATATAGTTTTTTTTTTTTTTTTAATTTAACCAGGAAAGAAACTCGTTGAGATTAAAAATCTGTGTCCTGGCCAAGACAGGCAGCAGCACAGTTCACAGAGTTTGACACAAACAAGCGAACAGCCAAGCGTATACAAAAAAAAAAGACACATTTAAAGGCGCATTTAAACAGCAAATGTTTGTCAAGATCATCCACAAACACATCAGGGAGAACATTTACAGCCAGATGTGTACCCCTCCAAGCCATTTAACATCCTCTTAAAATCATCCAACGAGAGCAGCTCTTTAAATCCAGCTCTTTTTTTATAACTCCTTCCAGTATAAAGGGAGCAGTGTTGGCTTTATTTCTGAGCCCTGGTGTTTGCAGCTGTGTTTAATTTTGAAATAACTTCTCCAACAGGTCCACAGCAAGGACAAGAAGTACGTGTGTAAAGTGTGCAGCCGTGTCTTCATGTCAGCCGCCAGCGTGGGAATCAAACATGGCTCGAGGCGCCACGGTGTTTGCGCCGATTGCTCCGGCCGGGGCATGGCTGCGCTGCTGGACCACAACGGGGAAGTGGGAGGAGATATCTCCCCGGAGGAGGAGCTGTATCCCGGCGACCGTTTCCACGATGACCAAGCAGAGTGCGATGGTGACGGAGAGGGGGAGGAGGAGATGATGGTGGAGGGGGACGGGGAGATGATGGGTGAGGGAGAGGAGGATGGAGGAGGAGGAGGAGGAGGGGGGAAGTGGAAGGACTCAGGGATGAGCACTGAGGCACACAGAGCACTGGACAATGAGAAGGAGGAGAGTGACTCCTCGGCACAGGAGGGGGAGCAGCAGAATGGGAGTGAGAGGGACTTCACTTGGATCTCCTAGAATCAACCCCGCTCCTGTTAGCGGCTCCTTCGACCAATCTCTAAAGATCTCTTGCGATCTTTTGGGCAGAATCCTCTGCTCCTTTTACCCATTCGTCCCAGCGTGGGCAGGCCTTCCTTTGTATGGAAAGCTGGAGGGTGATGCGCGACAATGATCTCAAACACACTCATACACACACAAACACAAACACACACACACACACACACACACGCACACAAACACACACACTTAGGCCATTCTCTGCCATAGTCGAAGAAGAAGTGGTGACGAGATGGTTCCAGTGTAAGGCTTTTTCCGCTTACCTCCTTTACTTCTGATGCAGTGTTTTTGTGTTTCTTTTTCTCGAGAGTTCAGGCCAGAGTCCAGTAGTTTTTTACTCTGTCACAACAGGAATCAACGAGGACGCTGCCAAGGACGCTAAGGCTGCAACTTTGTATGTTTGCCATCACAATCACCATGGAAACCAAGGATCACTGACTGACTGTGTAGGGAAATAGCCAGAAAGGGAAGTGAAGGCTGTAAAAGTCTCTCTGCAAGTAAAGGGAGAGAGAGTCTAAAATCTATTGCAATGCTACATGTGTCAGAGGAGCGGGCAGCCCCCACGGCACACAGTTGATGCAGAGTCCTACTGCCACAGACTTGCACTTTATCGACAACTGACTTGTATCAAAGCCCTGAACCCGTGGTTTACATTTTTGATCTGATCTTTGCTTACCTAAAACAACTCGGTGACCGCACCTACCTTTAAGGATATAGTCTATGTCCTCTTGACTGTTATCACGATATAGAAATCACTGAATCTTTGTGCAGATTGCTGTTTATAGAGCCTATGCCTTTCAGTGGGGTCCTTAATCTTTTCTTCGTTTACCACACAGTTTCTATAAATCCATTCCAACAAGATAAGACTAATGTACATACAGTTTTTGGGATTCTGGGGGAGAGGTGTGTGTGAGGCCCGAGAGAGACAGAAAGAGACTTTGACAGTGTATGGACGAGTTTTTAATCTCTTTATACACAAAGTGGACTTACATTTTTGTTCCTGTTTGGAAAATTAACTCAAGCACACATTAAATCCACATGACCTACTGTACACGATTAACTCTTTCTGTCCCTCTGGGCGTCTCTGGTGCAGTTTGTCTCACAGCAGAGGTTGTGATGATTGGACCTAAGGATGATCAGCCTTTGTCAAATTTAAAAAAAAAAAAAAAAACATTTTTCTTTTTTCTGTTTCTTTTCTTCTTGGTCAGTCATGTAACTCCAGTTTCTCAGTACAGAATATGCAGACTCTTTCTATGGTTTCTCTTTCTTTGGGTGGTATATTTTCTCTGGCTTTGTAAGGTTGAAAGGAGAGGATCAAAAATTGTGCTTGAACTTCGTAGGGTGTAATATTTGTTTTGTTTTTAACAGCTATTTATTATAAAAAAAAAAACCTGTTTGTGGATGCCTACAGTTTTTTTGAGAAGTTATTCTCTCTCTTTCTTTCTTTCTGTGTGTATGTGTGTGTCAGTGTGTGTGTGTGTGTTCGAAGGGACAAGATGGATGTTTGTATGCGAGAATGTGTGAGTGTCCAGTGTCCAAAAAAAGAGTCTATCTTGATTTCTTATGATTTTTTTCCTTGTTTTCTGGGATGTGATTGACAATTCAAGTGAGGCAGATGACATGTCTTATTATTCTTATGAGTATCAGAACTTTGGTTATCGTTGTTGATGTTCCTATTATTAATTATTATTATTAAGTGCTGGATGCTAAGCTTTATTGTGTGCTCTTTTTTGATATTTTATATCTTGTATAAGAAAAAAAAAGCTTTTATACTTTGCCTTGTTGTGGACAGCAAGCCATGGGGCTTTTATTGACCTTTTATTGTGCCAGTTTACGCTTTTTCTGTCGTATTTGCTTTTTTTACAAAGTGGAAAAACAACTTCACTGTCAAACCTCTCTGTTAGATATTGATTGAAACATATATTCCGCACACGCTTTTTTTTTTTTTTTTTTTGCATCACCAATGTACACTAATTGATGAATATGGAACCAAAAACAATCTCGTACCTTGTATACATGAAGTGCTTTTGTTTCACGGTCTGTGTGCAGGTGATTTTTTGGATTTCTTGCTGTGGTTAACCAGTTTTGTTGTTGAGTTGTTTTTATTTTTTGAACCTGTCACTACTTGTCAGTTATTAAAAAGTGCACATGTTATGGTGTCGTAAATATGACGGGCTATGTAAAAGAAACTGCGAGATTAAGAAGGCAGTTTCTTTAATTTTATTTTCTGAGTTTTCTACTGTCTCACGCCTTGCATGAAACACAATCAAGCAGAAAGGCAGCATGCAGATAAAACACTGGTGTGTGGAGCCTACATGCTGTATTTCTATCCGCTGGTCATTTACTGGCTTGACTCTCGATCATTTCCACAGCGGGAAAGTGAGCTCTGCAGCAGTTAACTCTGGGAAACATTTTGTTACCAGTTCTGGTTGCACACATCAGCTGCCATGGACTGCACTTCCCATCATGCCCCACTAGGAAACTCTCAGTACAATCTGATTTCTTCATCTCGAGCAACTGTCTTTATTTTATTTGTATTATTTACTCAGTTTTGTTTGACCCATTAATCAAATAGGTGTAATTTTTAGGGTAAAAAAAAGACAGTGGGGTTGGATTTTTTATTGAATGTCAATGTTAGGTGTGGAAGGAGCCCATGATCGGTGACAAATCTCTGTCCTGTGGTGCTGTTACAGTCACTGAGAGACATGTGGATGAATGTGTGACTCCCCGACCCTGCGCTCTTCTTAAGACCTGTACTGTACGTCTTCTTCCTCATACTGGGTTGTAACTTCAGGAAAAAAAACATCCGCCATCGAACCCTCAATATGTGCCTCAATAACATTTCACCTTGCGTGCTTGTGGGTGTTTGTTCCTGACTGGTGTGTTTGTGCCAATGGATAGAGATTTTACTTTAAAAAAAAAAAAAAAAGAGAGAGCAACTGATCAGATTAGAGGTGCAAAAAGTTTTTTTGAGGATAAAACTTCAACGAGACAAATCATGATGGGCGACTCCATTCTCCTTCCCACCGTGTGTTTGATGACCTTCTGTGCCCCGATTCTGTGGTCTTAACTGCATGCCTGTGCTCATTTTGTCATACCAAAGCGATGTCATCTGCACACAACTGTCTCATTCCACATGATGCAAAACTGGAACTGGTTTTTATCTCCTGCAGATGATTATGGGTATTCTTATACGTGTACAAATTGCAATCCTCATTTAGCCTGTATAGCTTGATTCACACGTGCAAATCATGAAGCCATAGATATGGGTATATCTATATTATACTATATTTCAAAATTGGCGCTTTTTACTTTAGATTTTGTTCTTCTACTAAGAGTGATGTGTGTATACCTTCATATATATGAATTTATATTACTATTATATATTATTTATTTCTCTCAAGTTTCAGAGGACTTTGATTTGTAAAAGGTCGCACTTGAAGCTTGAGGTTTGTTTATTTTCATTGGGAATATTGTTCAATATGATACTGACTTTATATTGATGATTATCATAAACCTGTGTTTGTAACAAAATGTGTTAAATAATCAAAAGAACCCTGTCCTGTTTCTACACCTGTTTTGTTTTTGGGCAGATTTAAGTGCTCTTGTGCAGATTTTTTTTTTCTTTTTTTTTTTTTTTCAGTTGATAGTACTGATCACAAAAACATTTTACAGCCAACCATGAGCCTCCTGTTTTTGATGTTTGGGTCTGCCCGGCGGCCGCGCAAGCCTCTTTCTAACTTCATGTTCAATGGAAGAATTAGCTTGACTATTATTTGCAAAAACCAATCAGTCTCAATAAATTTTGAAATTGCTGCTGTAAAGAAGTGACCAACATGTGTGCTGTGCGTTCTTTTTTTTTTCTTTTTTTTCCTGATGCCTTTCACTACCTGCTGCTGTCCACAAGGGGGTAGAATAGACACGTCAATGAAAGTAGACACAAAGGAGGGAATCCTGTCTGTGGATCGCTCACTTCCTTCTTCGAATGATTGGCCATTACAAACATCCTGCTCTCATTTAGCCACAAAGATTTTACTTGATGAATTTATAGAAGGGAAATTAACAACCTGCTGGCCGTCTTCTTCTTCCATTCAGGTTTATTTTCTTTCCATCACAATACATCACATAGATCACATTGTCAGCATCAAACATGGTCATCCTTTTCGTGCACTAGCTATAGGCTTGACATTCACACAAATACTCCTTGAGTGCACCACTCCTCACAAAGTGCTTTCTCCGTGTGTGTGGGACTGCAGATGAAGAGCGGAGGCAGAGCCCACACACGGGAGAAAATCTTGCCCTCCAGTGAAGACCCAAGGCTGACGTCACGTTACCTTCCAACACGCCTTTCGCTGTGTGTGTGTGTGTGTTTTTTTTAAGGCTGCGATGAGCATTTTCTTTAACAATTGAAGAGGACTACAAACATCAGCCTTGAGTTATCAGATACTGAAGAGGGAAATCTAATACACAAAACCCTTCAGTGTTTATCTCCTATTACAAAAAAAAAAAAGAACAAGGGGGGAAAAATGAGCGATGATAGACACGCAAAACAACCTCAAATTCAATCAATCAATCAATCAATCAATCAACCAATGAGAAAACAAGAAGAAAAACAAGCAAAAGTCAGTTTTCACACCAGCCAGTGTAAGGCTCAGTAAAATCACAACACAGAGGAAAAATGGTCATCAAATAGGAGATATGACAGCCTGGGCTAACATAAAGCACAGAAGAAGAAGCGGAGGATTGAGTGGAGCTGCCATTGCAATGCATTACATTACATTTGATTTGGAAGGAGATCTATTGGCTTTGCTGCGGCTGGTTTACACACTAAAGAAAACTGACATTCAAGAAAGCAGCACGAACATTTTGACATGTGGAGAAAAAATATATATATGAAGGCTTTTTTTTTTTTTTAATGCACATTTCAAGGGTTAAGTTTAGCTTAATATACTGAGTAAAGGCTTAGGTGGGACAACGGTAAAGCTGGAGAGCACAAGAAGAGGAAACGGGAAAGGACAAAGTGATCAGAGAAGAATCCCTGTAATGAGAAAGGGAAACAGGAAGGACAGGTCTATTAGGAAACAAGCGGAAGCCACTAGAAAGTGTGCTGTCTGTTGGAATGTGCAGGGCAGGATAAAGAATTCCCCACAAAGTGAATGTTTCATCATGGTTATCCTGCCAAATAAGAACTAAACGTCACAACCACAAACGACAACCACACATATTCAGAAAAAACAACAACAGACTATTTGGCAGAGAGAAAGACAAACATCAAGAGTGTGAGCAAGAAGCCCGGATGTAACCGAAAGCTCATGTTAGTTCTTGTTCCATTATAGAGCATCTCATTGCACAAAGTCAAAGTAAAGCAATACTGCATGGTTGTGTTATTTGATATGACTTAGCAGTGTGGCGACAGATGTCTGTGGGTTGGATACCGAAATCATTACGCGCTACAGCTTCACTACAAACAAGCCAGAAACCAAAACAACAACAAAAAACTATAAAAAATTGTTTCTTTTACATTCAACAGGTTTTGTTTTTCTCCCCTTTGCCTCAAAGCTACAATATACAATGAATCTTTACGTGTTATGTTCACTATAGCTTCTCAATTGACTTGTTTTTAAAGAAAGAAATATTCTGAGCAACTATAATGTAAAAAAAAACTTTTCATATAACAAGAGAACAACAACAAAGTAAAACGATATATGAAAAAAAAAAAAGCCGCACGGTTTTCTTTATGTTGCATATGTACAAGAAAGCCCTGAATCCTCAAATCCATCGTCACTGCGTGTCTCGTCTCTGCTGTAAATATCCACAGATTTCCCCAAACAGCCGTTCAAACTCAGCTTCATTTTCCATCTGTCATTTTTCTAGGTGAAAGTTGTTCACTTTCAGAAATTCCCCTATTAAGGTCTCTTAGCTGAGATCTGTGCGCAAGACTTCCTCTGTACCCACAGTTCCTTCTGGCCATGACGACCAATATACCAGCTGCACTCACTTAGTCAAGCTGTTGGTGATACGACTTGAGCCTTGATAGTGACAGGCCAGTTTTAGTGCAACATTAAAAAAAAAGGTGGAAAACACAGGAACCTGTAAGCAGAATGTGTTACCATCATATAGCATTGGCCTCTGATCCTGCAGGTAAAAATGTAAGTGCTTAAAGTGAGGATGGAGAGACCTGATGGGCTGCAAGTGACACTCAATTAACGACCAAAAGCAGAATGAGAAGTGGTACCCAGCACTAATACAGTTACTACCTCAGCTCAGTCAAATGTAAAAAAGCAGGAACCTGTTTTTGTGTAAGAAAAGGAAGCGCAAAGATGAGATTTATGAGTAAAAAAAGTGTGTGTCCAGATAATAATCAGTGTAAAAGCATGTGAATCGCGTGTCCACTAGCTGAGACTGGTGTTTTTCCATCACTGACACGAGGCAGGTCCTCCAGGGAAAGGCAAAGTGACTGACTACTTAAAGTACCACACTGTACTTCTCAGTACCACACCTCTGAAACAGCCAGCACCACAATGTTTATAGTAAAATCAATCTGACCGAGAGCGAGTCCTTATCTGTCAAGATCACTTGCTAACAATACAATGGGGGGGGGGGGGGCGGGGGACCCCAAAGGTACAGAACCTCCATCCCTGACACCCCCTTGATTCCAATCAGGCAGTGACGACACCCTGGGAAAGAACAGGAAACCCTCTCTCTCTAAAAGTGTGTGTATATAAAACATCCACGTATAAAAAAAAAAACATCTTTGTGCAGTGCATCGTAGTGCAATTTCATCAGGTCAGTACGACTTTTCCTTTTTATGTTCTTTTCATTGGCACTTTGTGAAGTTTCTGACCGGAAGAGGCCCGCCGAGAGACCTAGCTTATCTGGAATAAAACGATTTACAGGCAGGATCAATCTTTTTTAACAAGATCTGAGTGACAACCCCTCACCACATAAGAGCTAACATGTGTGCTTAACATTTTTCATCCATTAACTTGAAGCCACCAATTAACACTAAAAGAGTGTGTTCCCCACCTTCTTGGAGAAGTGATAACTGGGCGCCTATCAGCCGCCAGCAGACAGCATAAGTGACCCTGTGGCGACTGAGGACAGCACAGGTGTTTCTATGGCGACAGAGGTCTGAAGGCGCACTGTACGTCATTCAAGGAGTCTGCTCAAATGCTTCACAGCCGGCTTATGTAGGAGAGGAAAGGCACTGTGTGTGTCTGAGTGTTCGTGTGTGTGTGTGTGTGTATGGCGGTTAAGTTCAGGTCAGTGTCAGGAGAACTTCAGAGAGCAGAGGACAAACAGCAAAACTTACATGAAAGAGCTGGAAAAAAAAAAAGAGAAACGCACAGGATGAAACTTGTAAAAAAAATGTACATCTACTTTCATGCCTCACCTCTGAGAACAGAATAAAATACCCGTCTTTTTTTTTTTTTTCTTATATGTGTGGATTTTCTATGATCCAAATCAAGGATCTTAGGATAGAAGGCTCCACATGCTGTGATACAGACTGTGAAAACCTTTGGGGGGGAAAATTTGTGACTTTGGGCAACATGTCAATAAATGGGACTTGTCTATAGTTAATGTGAAGCAGGTCATCGTGTAGAAAAAAATCTGTATTCTCAAAGTGAACGTCATTTGGATCGAAACATTAACAGAGTGAACTAAGAGCAAGAGAAGTTAAACTCTTCTGGGTTCATTGAATGCAGGAAATTAACCTAAAAAAATAAATGTCTCTTTTTGAGGCTATTTGTAGTTTTGATTTCTAGTTTTCTATTTCTACTTGACCATGAAGGAATCAATAATAAGTTGTCCCTCCATGTCATTATGCCAATACAGGTGAATGTATATTATTAAAACTTCACCCTGCAGGTTCAATATTTAAGACTGGTCGATACTGTATATAATTTTTTTAAAACTTTTTCTTTAATGTTTGTTCTCTGTGTATGCTTGTTTTTCTTTTCTCATCGTATCTTGAGAAGAAATTCAAAATAAGGGACAAAATGGACTTTAAAATTTAAAGGAGGGCTATTTTCTTTATGCCAAGGCATGAAAGGTATGTTTCTAAAAGTACAGTTTCTAACTCTCTAAAAATGGACCACCTATGTTTCATGTAAAGCTCTGTAAAGCAGGCCTGTCATTTGGTATAACAGGTCTTTACAAAATCTAAACTCCACTTTGGTTAAATATTTTTAAACTTTTGTTCATGCACGTTCGCACGACACGAGTGGATTCACTTTTTTTTTTCTCTATTTTCATGATCAATGTTGAATCCTTCATAAAAGACGAGTCTTCTGTCAAGTCAGATCTGGTCTCTATCATTATCTGTGCTCATGCTGGTTTGTGATTTGCTTGGTTTTTTTTAAGACTAAAGATTGTGTAACCTCTCCATTTTGAAATGCCTGATTTATAATCAGGTAATGATTGTTGGGTTAAAATCTCTGTTAATTAGCTTCAAAATGCCAATGACATAAATCAGAGTGAGTTCAGGTTTCAAAGGGCTGTATCAGTCATCATGGTAAACAATCTCTTGAAGCACATCAGCTGTCAAAGAGAAAAACGGAGCCTGGACTCACCTTAATACAATGACAACCACAAAGCAAGAAATACAAACTCAAATGCTGTAATTCTGCTGATTGCACAGTGCAACTGCTAGTTGCTTCAGCATGTAGCTGCTGAAAATAAAGTCTATATAAGAATTACAGATCCACTCTCTCAGACATACGCTGTGGTTACAGTGATTCTCTAAAGGAACGGTTCTCTTCAAGGTGCATATCTTTAGGGTACAAGTATAGAGAAGAAGAGAGGAAGAGATATATATCGCGTATATTTGG